GTGCCAATAAGTGGCATGGTTCTAATAGTGGACTTATGGGATGAAATTGAGTTTCTTTTGATTTTCTACTAATAAAGTATAATGAAATGCTTCCTCTAAGATCTGGGGATCGAATAATTCTACCTCATTCCTAAACTTTATCCTAAGTCCAAGGACAAATTTATTAGCTAGTTACTAGTCATTATCAACATAGTTAGTCCTAGAAATTAGGTCTTCAAATGTATTCAGATATTCAGTTACAACGATACTACCTTTCCTTAGAGTTAATAATTTCCCATGTAATTTCTTATCATGATGCCTTAGACAATATTTGATTTTTAATATCTCATTCATTTTATTCAAAATAAGAGTGGTCCTTCATAATCTATGATTTTAACTAAAGTATTAGTCTAATAGATCTTGGCATGTCCAATCAAAATAAACTCTTTGATAATCATCTATCTTATAAGAAATCATCCATTTGGACTAACCAGTCTAGAAACCTATTAGGGTTATGGTTGTCAGCATAGTTAAAAGCTTTAACTTCATCATAGTTAAAAGCTTTAACTTTAACAGTCATAGGGATTATTAAAATCATCAACACTCCTATGAAGATGATCTCTTCTACCTCTATTCCTATGGTTGGATTATCTTTTATTAGGTTGGTCATCTCCTTGGCTTATGTAAGAATCATCATCATTTAAAAGTATACTATGATTTTTGGCGGGGCATGGGATGTGATTCCTATTATTTTGTAAATGATTTAGAATAGTTTGCATTTGATAATGTAATCGTTGTATCTTATAAGTTTTAATATCATCAATTAGTCCTTTGTTTTAATAGCATTTTCATGAATCCTAAGATCCAAAGAATCAGCAATCTTAGTTAAGTTTTCGATCTAGTCGTAAGAAATAGATTTAGGTATCTTATTTTTTAATATGAAGAGAGATGTTAGAGGGAAATGGTTATATAAGAGAGATTGTGAAAGTTGAAATATAAATGTAATAATAAAATGTATTATAAGTTTAAAGAACTTCCAGGTGATGAGGGGGGTACAAAGCAGGGGTGTAAAAATCGGGTTTTGGGTCGTGTTCGGGTCGAACTCGAAACTGACCCGGGTTCAAATGAGTTAACCCTAACCCAAACTAGTTTTGTAAACGGGTTGAGAGTTTAGATCCAGACCCAACAATCAAGTTATCGGGTTGACCCGACCTGACATGGTAACCCGGATTTTACGGGGTCAAGTCACTCGTGAGAACGCTAGGGTCTGTCGAAGAAGATTTCGGCCTTGAACCATTTAGGGTAGCGGACAAGAATTATGGCAACGAAGCACATGTAGCGTTCGCCGGACTTGGCTCCCAAAGGCACCAGTCGAACCTCGTCGGAGATGATATAAAGTTGTTGATTGACATGCCAGTTCTATAGACACTGACACTTTCTAGTCTTCCACATTAGCCCACGCCCAACTCTGCCAGCCATTCCTTTGACAACCTGCACTCAACCCGCACATTGTAAATCTCTTCAAGTGGCCGCTCAAACCTTGCATAGATTCCTGTTATGCGGGAGACTATGATGGTGGACTCGGACCAACTGTTTGACAGGTTGCGAGCAGGTCATTCTCAGGTTTTCACATCAACCCGAACCAGACTTGTTTTTTAAAATGAGTCGGTTTGTTGAACTCGATCCCGACCCGTATGACAAAAGGGTTGACCCTAATTTAAAATTTTAAGGTCAAGTTTAGGTTGCCTTTTTGGGTCGTATCAAATATTGACACCCTTAGCACAAAGACCTCTTACATCCCAAGCTCTTGTTAGGCGGTTTAGACCTTTTTGACAAAGTTTTTTTAAACTCTAAACATACTAAATTTTATACACATATTTTTATGCATGCAATAAAAAAATGTCAAGATTTATAAGCCTAAGCCCTTAAGATGACAAACTATTTAAATTTTGATAAATAAACAACTAGTTTTACTATAAGCAATTAACACAAAAATTAAAGAAGGTTATATAAATGACTGTAAATGATTGTAGAATATTAGATTAGGATGTGAACTTGTCATATGAAGTTGATGGTGGAGTTTAAAAATAATTTGAGGTGTAGGGAATAAGACTATGTTAAAGTGTTCACTATTTGGGCTAATGGCTATGTGAGAGTGTTTAAAAATGTTTTTAGCTTTTAATTGCTTGTTTATTAGTCTTAAGGAGTGTTTATAATATGTGTTTAAGAGAATTTGTAAGTAACATAAAAGAAATAAAAATAAATATCAAATTATATCAAAGAAAATGCATACATTTAAAGCCACCACACACTAAACAAATGAACAAAGTTTTCCACAAAATTATTTCATTCAAAAAAATTTAAAATTACAATGCATATCAACCCATATTTTTAAGCATTACAAAATAACTATTGAATGAAAAAAATAGAGTAAAAATTAGAGGGAGACACATATTTATAGACATTTTAAGATAACTATTGGGCAAAAAAATATATAATAAAAAATAGAGGGGATTACTGAACATTAAAAAGAATTTCCACTTATTAATTCCACCTATACATTTTTTATTGCTCATCTCTACCTAACAATTTCATGATTACTCATATAAATTTCTAGATAATAAATAAAATATATCATTAAAGCTCAAATTTATTCATTTGCATGTGGAATTCTTAAAACTTTTATTCAAAATTACTTAATTTTTTAAATAAACAAATATACATAAATTTTAGATAAATAAATATCAAGTCTTCGTCATGGGAAACATGAAACATTTTATTTGTTCTTAACCAAAAAGAAATTCAGCATTATCTCTGAAAAGAAAATGGATAAGCATTATTTAAAAGATGATTCATTAGTCTTTATATTATAATTTTGTTAAGGCTTCATAGCTTAAAGATAACAGAAAACACACACAAAAGATTGATTACTACTTTATTTTTCAACCAAATGGCAAAGGTGCAGACACTTAAGGCCAGAAATATTACTGCTACCACTATCTAAATATTTTCTGAAGATTAAAAATCAAATACTACCACAGATGTTCTGCAGGTGCAACAAGCTTATCCATCTCCCTTTTTAAGGGAAAGAGAAGAACACCTAATACTGCTTAGTTGCAAATCCATGACCACTAATGGTGGGAGAAAATATAAAATGCTACAGATGACATTTCTACATTGGATTTTACCTTACAACATTCAGAAGACAGAATATTTCAGGCTGAGGATCTCAGATCTCTACCACTGAACAATTTCTCCCAACTGCTAAATGTTAACAATTCAAGAAACCAAGATCTGCACCTTTGTCCTGACAGCAATTAGAGCCAAGTTGAACTAAGCCAAATGCTTGAAGAATCAGAGTCAGAGTCACACAAGCCATGATCATCAACATTTTTTTCACATTAGGGTTTATATATCTGCAATAAATTAGAGAAGCAATTTTGTTATTTTGAAACTTGACTTTGAAAACAAACATGAGTGCAAAAGAATAAGAGGAGAAACACTTAAAATGATTCAAAATTTTCAAGATAACTAAATAGATGCTGTATTAGTTTAGAAATGAGATCACTATAGCATCGCTATGTTGTTTATCCAATCCATTAAAGCTTCGTTTGGGACGGCTTTCTTACTGCTTCATAAAACAATTTTTTAGTACAAAAAATTGTTTTAGGAAGCAGAAAAAAAGTCGTCCCAAACGAAGCCTAAGTCAACAATCTCTAACAAAATGGACTGCGCATACATCTTATTTCATAGAATTATCATGAAACCAAAAAATCATGAACAATTTGAGAGAACATGGAGCTGTTTGGTTCAGGCTTACTAACCAACTTAAATTAGCCTAAGCTTGGCTTCTAAGCCAAACATACAGGGGTGGATCCCCCTTTAGCTCAGGTGCCCCTCCTAAAAAAAAGAAATAATCTTTATTATATGATTCTTTAGATAATTTATCTTATCCATCTATTTTTTAGCCTCTAGTACAAGGGTTTTTAGGCAGTTGTTTCTAAACCTTCTTAACTAATGTCGATGATGGGACAGGTCAGACCAACTTTAATATCCATGCATGTTATTCTAATCCCTTTAGAAAGCTGATGGACCAGTTCACCCGAAAGCCTAGTAGCCTATTTGCCTTTTTGCACTCACTTGTGATGATGACTATGTTATATGTATTTTATCCTTAAATTTAATATGCTAGTATTCAATGTCATTCCTCAAGTGGCTGATAAAATAAGAATGATTATCCTTTCTCTAATTAATAATGCAGCTGAAGGGTCATTAACTTCAATTCATTTGCCAAGATACTTTGAAGTCCCACATACACCACTTTTAATTTAAATAAGACAAGGCCTTCACCCAATTATATCAAGCAATCCGCCATCACTCTCCTTGGAATCCCGACTTCAACTAGAAGCAATTATTTTCAAGCTAATTTGTTGTTTACCAGAACAATAGATATGATGCATATGAATTCCTTGTTGTGATGATGCTAGGAATTGGAATTGCATTAGTTTCCCTCATGTCATATCATATATGAATTACAACTGATCTTAGTTTATTCTAAGATGAGTTTTGCATTTAGGGTTTTGAAAGGGAAAAAAGAAGAATTGCTGGACATAATGACTAGAAGAGGAATAAATATGGCTAGTTAACTTAAATGGAAAGGAGAAATATCTAATCACATTAGGGAAGGTTATATAAATTAGTGTATGCTAGAAATGCTAATAATAAAAATGAGGTTGGAATAATATGTGGATTGATGGACGAAAGATATAATTATTGAAGGAATAGGGTTAGTAATAAATAATAAAAATAAAAAAACTATCCTAGGATGACATGATAGAATTTAAAAGTGAAAAACTAGTAATAATTCAAAATGAGTTGCCAAGGGAGGCAAATTATAATGTTTTAATTGAGTCAAGCTTGGTGTGTGATATGACTAATTCCATTAAGAAGATTATTATAGAAGTTGTAAGCAAGTAAATTATCAAAATAATCCATATATTATGAAGTGTGTCTATTTAAGCCTCCAAGTTTTCAAAGAGTCCAAATTAGTCTCATAACTTATTAAATCCTAAGCATTTTGGTTCTTCCAACATCTCTTCAATTTGCAATCATATGACAGGAAGAAATTTATCAAGTCATTTTAAATTTTATAAGTTAAGCTATACTCTAGAGCTCCTCTACATGTGGAGAGAGCCTTGAGCAAGATTGTCATAGCTACGAGTGAGATACTTACAAGAGAGACACAACTGCATGGTCGGGTTATGGCCCTAGCTATGTAGCACCTCCCTCATACCTTCATTGGTTTGCTAGAGGCTTTTTGTACACTGTATAAGAGATCTAGGGCATTTCTAAAAGTGAAAAAATCCAAAACATTCTTATAGTTTGCTTCCCATCACAAGTTTCATTGATTGCAAACTAGAGAGAAGACAAAAATAACCAAAAAGTTTAGAACTTAATAAATTAAGAAACAAACTTGGGCAACTCAAAAATTCTGAGATAAAAATAGATATGCCAAATTGGAGAGTAGATATATTAAATTTGACCTATATAAAAAAATATAGAGGTAGACCTAAAGCTTTTGTTTGAAAGTAATAAAAATGATTTTTTTAATTAGATTTAAATTAGAATTTGACTCTTAATAGGACACAATGGAGAAAAATAATTCATGTAGCCAACCCTACGTAGTGGGATAAAAGGCATCTTACTATTGTTGTTGTTATACCTAAGAAGTCTATGAAACACTTTGATCATGCACTATTTTGGGAGTGTTTAGAAATATATATAGTATATTGATAAAGATATTTAGTGGCATAACAAGGATGTACAAATGATTGTGAAGAAAAATATATATACATACAAGGAGTGGCAAAAATTCAATAACACTAATAGTTATAATGATTATTTGAAAACTCAAAGTCTTGCAAAAAGTGCAATGAGCCAAACAAATAGCTTTTAATGATTTATACAATAGACTTGTCACTTAAAATGGAGAAAAGAAAATGTACAAAATAGCTGTCAATAGATAAAAGATTTAAAGATTGATAAAAACAAATTCATTAAAAGCAAAGATAATAAAATTTTGTATAAAGATAAGAAAATAAAGGAAACATGAAAATGCTATTTTGAGGAATTCTTAAATGAGAGTTTTAAGGAATAAATCATGTTGGAAAAATATATAAAAAAATTCTCAGATATATTATGTATCGACTTAAAAGGTGAAGTAGATTTAGCATCAAGAAAATAATATAAAAGTAAAACTTTATGTGCAAAGAAGATGGCGAAATTTGGTGAGTTGTGAGAGATGCTATAGTGGTTTGACTAACAATATTTTCAACAAAACTTTATAAACAAAGAAGATGCCTAATAATTAAAGAAAAATCATTTTAATACTAATATTTAAAACAACGAAAGAAATTTAAAATTTTGCTTACTATAAAAGAATCAAACATATGAGTCATATAACAAAGCAATGAGAAATTAATGGAACATATATGTAAAAAAAATGTCAATTTTGAATAACAAATTTAGTTTCATGCCAAAAATATTTACTATGAAAATAATTTGAGTTAAGATAACTGATGAAAATAATATAAATAGCATAAAATAGATATTCATATAATTTTATTGAGCTTGAGAACTCATATGATTCAGTACCAAAAGAATGATTTGTTGCACATTAAGATAGAAAAATGTGTGTTAAAAATATGTTGAGGTTATTAAAGAGAAATATAGAGCACTACTAGTATTAAAATGTGCTGTAGAGTGACAAAAGAATTTCGAATTGTGATAGGATTAAATAAATAACCAATATTGAGTTTATATCATCTTTATAATGATTATGAAGATGCTTAAAAAAATATTCATAGTGATGTGTTGGTGTTTGATTTTTTTAGATGAAGATGAGAGATTGGATAATCATCTTTAGCATTATTCTGAATATTTCAGATCGACATTATGAATTCTTATTTTTCATTCATTTCTATTGAGTGTTATTTGAGATATTAAACCTATTATTCGCAATCAATTTAAACAACTTATATTAGTGTAATCTACAAACCCTAAATGGTATAATATTAACAATTATCAATAAATATTATAAGAATATAAAAACAAAAAAAAACAATAAATAAATAAAATTAAAAAAAATCAACAAATATCATAAGAAGATAAATTGATACTAATGTATGATAGGTTTAAGTTTCATAGATATAATAAATTATTATTATTATTAATGAGGACATAAATGCCAGAGTTAAGAATGTGCAGTGAAGGTGCTGATGTGCAGCTTAATTTTTTTTTAAAAGTCGACTTCTCTATTATATATATATATAAAATAATGAATGATTATATTAAAAAAATAATTAGAGCGGAAAATATTAAAGATATAACAATTGAAATAGATTTAGATTGCTTGAATATGTACACATAATAATAAAAATAAACCCATTAGATGGGCAGATAAAAATAGTGTTGGAGGTTCAGAATTATGATCAATGAAACTTATGAGTTATAAATGAAAACTATGTGAGAGAGTAATTGAACAAAGGCATATAAAAATTTTGCAGCTTCAGAGAATCAATTTGGATTCATAACAAGAGGATATACAATAAAAATGAAATTTATGTTCATTTAATTAATAAAAAAAAAGTAGAGATGAAAGAAATGATCATATAATTTTTTTTAGAGAAAGCATATTATCGAATACCATAAGAATAAATTTAGTTCTCACAAAGGAAAAAAAAGAGTGTAAAAATATGTATGATAGACTACTGGTTAGTATCAAAAGAAGTAATGGAGTGACCAAAAAGTTATAATTAAATATGATTATATCAAGAATCAGCATTGATTGCAAATCCTTTTATGTTGGTTATGCACATGTTTATAGAGATAATCAAAATGAGGCAACTTGATGTATATTTTTTGCAAATACTAGTATTAATTGTTGAGATAATCATTGAAATAAATGAAAATTTAGAATAATAAAAATATATATTTAGAAGATGGAATAAATAGTGATTATATGATATGAAACATTAGTGGGTAAGATATTAATAATTTTCAATCAATATTATTAGAAAATAAAATGATATTTATGAGTTATAGATTTTAAGAATCTTGGACATATTACAAAAAATGAACATATAAATGAAAATATAATTTTAAGAGTTAAAGCATGAAGGTTACAGTGCAAGTATTATTTAATAAAAGGATATCATTGAGACTTAAAAGAAAATTTAATAAAGCCATACTTACATCGATGACGTTATATGAATCTAAGTGTTGAGCTATAAAAAGATGTGAATATAGAACTTGAGTAGGATAGACAAGACAATTTTATGATGGATAATTAAGCAAAACTAGAAACAATAAATTAAAGAATGCTTACAACAACAACAACAACAACAACATCAAGCCT